CTAATATGCAACTTATCTAAACTGCTGTCGTCAAGAGGGAACCCCAAAGTTCCTGTTCCTCACCGGTGTCAAACTGCCCTCTTATAAGGGTTTAGGGTTTAGGGTTTAGGGTTTAGGGTTTAGGGTAGGTTATCCGAAAAGATTAAGTTCAGGTGATTTTTGGGCCGAAGCTCTGCATTCCTAAATTCCTGAACCCTAAACCACTAAACAATCAACACAAAACTCGAAATCCCTATATTCCTAAGTCCCTAACCCCGGAACTTAACCCTAAACCCCTTATGGATCCTTTGCAAGAGGTCTTAGGGTTTGAAACTCCTAAACTCCTAAACCCGAAACCCTAAACCCTGAACCCTAAAACCCTGGGCCCTCGGCCCAAACCCTTCAGGTGTCTCGAATTCGGCCTCCTAGAGCTTTGCTGCTCCTCCCGGGCTCGAAGGGCAGCCTCGGCCTCGCTCGGAAAGCATGACCAACTAAGGGAGTTATAGGGTCTACCCATAGGCCCCATAGTAGTTCCTTTTTGGGCTTACCTTCTGAAATTCTAAATATGAACCCAAAAAGGAACTACTATGGGGCCTATGTGTAGGGTTTAGGGCTTCAGGGTTTCGGGCTTAGGGTCTATAGGGTTTAGGATGTAGAGATAAGTGAGTTCTTCCAGTCCGTTGGGCACACTCCTAAGGGCCAATAGGACGGACCCCCAGAAGGGACCCCTAATCCAAATACCCTATATAACCCTTTTATATAGCCTCATAAAGCCCCTACATAACCTCAAGGGTCCCTTGAAGGGTCCCTCCTTCAGTCCCTTGAACCAAGGGAATTAACCCAAGAGGTCCGACCTGTAGTCTCCATTGCAGTTCCTCTTTGTGGTTACCTTACAAGATCCTAATTATAGACGCGGTTTTAACTACAGTGGCGACTATACGTAAGTACTTATGTATATATAGCAGAATGTTGGGTTGTTATAATTGGGATGATGTGGGAAAGGATCGCCCATACTGGTACATAGGACCCTGTGGCTAGGAGGGTTCCTCACAGGTCTCCTTGAAGGGTTCCTTAAGCGGGTGCGGACGACTAACAGGCTCAACAATCACAGCACTGACGCAGCGATATCTGTTGGTCCAGCGTGCATCAGCAAGAGTACTGTTGGCGCGAAGTTGACGAAGAACTGCCTGAGACGGCCTGAGACGTCGGAGACCAGCTCCATGATTGTAGATGGTTTGCCGCTGAAAATAGATGCGGACTGACGATGGTGTTCACTGACGTGCAATCAGTATGGAAGACCTCACTCTGGAATAGCGATCCATCAATGCCCTTCACGCAGATACCTCGGACCCTTGGGGATTAAAATGGCCAGAATATGTACAGGCGGGCTCACCGATGGTGGGAGAGTGGCCTTGATCTCTTGAGCCTCACCAGGTTCCGTTGCCACTTCCTTAGGCCCGCTCACGACTTCTTGCAAATGACTGAAACGGGTCGGGCTGTACTCCCTGCGAAAGGAGCAGTATCCTCAAGGGGGATCCCCCGGGATGGATCAGGCACGCTGCACGGAGCAAGATCGAGGCTCGCGTGGCCCCTATAGAAGGCATGACAATGCTTACTCAGATTGTCCTGGCAGTGCCGCACTGCAGCTACCACGATCCAGCTTTGTGTCTCTTCTCTAGGTCAAACTTAGTCTATCATGTAGTGCCGGAGCGCAGGCATCGTATGTGGTGGTGCTGAGGGCTCCTCAAAGGGATTTTTTGAATAGGATGAACTATAGAGTTCCGTGAGGGCTTCTTCACCTAGACCCTGATCCTGAACCGTTAACTTAAGAGATCCTTCTGGCACGTGGGGTTCCCAGAAAGAGTCCTCATAGGGGTCTATATGGGTGGTTGTCAAAATTAGGGTCCCTTTTTGGGTACCCTGAATATTAGGTGCCGTATTATATTACGGACCCAAAAAGAAACCATAATTTTGACAACCACCCATGTGGGTTTGGGGCTGTTACGCGCACGGTGGGACTGAGGGTTCGATCTCAGGTCCCCTTATGGGTTCTACAAGGGTTTGGGGTTGTGAGGATCATGTGACTTACGGTAGTAGGTGACATAGATCCTTACTTACATCCCATAAGCCCTAAACCCAAACCCAAACTTATGCCCAAACCCAAACAAATGACCCGAACCATTTAGGATACGTCTAAGCAGACTAAGTTCCCTCAGCATGTAGGCGCTGATCTGATCTCGGGGTCTCAAGTTTAGGCAAATGGAAGACTGTTTTGAAGGGGGTGTACTTATCGGAGATCCCATTGCTCAGAGAGAACCAAACAAAAACATCATTCTTATAGCTTAACGTTCAGAATTTAGGGGTTCAGGGCTTTAGGAAGGGCTTGGGAATCGAGGGTTAGGGCTTAGGTGTCTAAGGGTTTAGGGATGTTTAGGGTTTAGGGGCAGCAGGGACTACAGAACCCTTGCCTCAGCGACAGCACGCGCAGCTTCCTTGTGTTTGGGATGGTAATAAAGGTTCGTGTAACTCTTCTATATGGGAGTTTCTGAAAATTAGGGGTATCTTATTTTGGGGTCCTTATATTAAGGATCCTATTATTTAGGGTACTATATTAGGGTCCCCTATTTTCAGAAACCCCTATATTGGGATGAGGACAGGACATGGCGATGCTTCAGCGTTCTGCGCAGGCGTTCGGTCTATCCTGGCTTGTTTACGTTACGAACAAAGGTGCTAGGAGGCTGGACGGAACTGGTCACAGTAGCTCATACTATGTAGGTGTTCTAATAGAATGAAACCTGAAGCATTTACCATGGTGCGTACCCAAGGCAATAATTCACGGCTCTTCACGGGCTTGTTGATTCCCCAGGCGCTGTGTCCGTCTCGACCACCTAACCCACACGCATAGACTTGGCATAGACTCTTCATATACTGATAGACCACGATTGGTAAAGCTTCGTTGCAGAGCCACCATGTGCAATTAAGGGTTGTGCTCTTCTGATGTACCGGGGTTCTGTTCTTCTTACCGTGGCTTTTGAACCTTTTGTTGCAGACCCCCCCCCCACAGTTTGCTGTTGATGTTGAGTTTTGAGCCTCACACCACCACTGCAGATTCCTTGATTGGAGACATCCCCTTCTGCAATCCAGTGCTTGGCTCTTCATGCATGTACACTAGAAAACTTGCAGAACCGTTTTGAAGGAGCCCCTGGATTATGGAACCCTTTATAGATCCCTTTTAAACCCCTCGCGTATACTCAGCCACGCGAACTCAGGAGTGGACGGCTGCTTCGGCACGCTGCCTCGCCTCCTCTGGAGAAGTCAGGGCTGTGGCTGGGGGTGCTGGGATGTGCGGGTTGAGGGATGAAGCTTTAGAGCCTCTCACAGGCTCTTTGCTGGGCTCGGGATGCCTGCTTCGGCCCCATATCACATCTCCTTTAGGGTGTCTTCGGCTATTTTGGAATTTGTTCGGCTGCATATGGCCGCCCGCAGTAGTGCAGTGTTTCTGGGCTTCACGCCCCGATGCGCCTGAAACCGCAAGCACAACCCACAAATCAAACCAGAATCCACGGTGAAAATCTTGAAACCCACCACCGAAAAAACACCTAATGTACGGGCGTTAATAATAATTAGAATAGGGTTTCGGGGCCCATTATACCATAATTATACTAAGGAACCCCAAAATAGCATTGCTAATTATTCAGGCCCCTCTAGAATATATATATATATATATAAAAACTATATAAACCTGGAAGGTTGACCCCGCTAAAGCCGGATCGGGCGCTCCAACCTACAAAACTGCCACCCTAAACCCAAGAACCTAACAACTCAGAATCTAAACCCAAGACTAAGAACCCAGGTTCCTCAGAACCCTAATGATATGAGGTCGAATCCTGTGGACCCTTCAGGGAAAGCTACGCCTCTTCCAGGAGCTTCGCAGCTTCGGCCGCTCGCTGCGCCTCCTTGGCTGAGGTGGTTTGCTGCTCCGTTGCACTGAACTTGGAAATTCTGGGGCTTATATAGAGAACCCCGAGCCCTAGACCCTAAACCCTAAACCGCAAAGTCCATAAGTCCTAAACTCTCCAAGGTGCCGAACACATTCATTTTTTGCCTGCCCTCAACTTCATTCATGTACTCCACAAATCGCATCAGTGACCGAAACTAGCTCATTATTCCCGAACCGCCCAGGTACCTACTATATAGGGTACTAGAGCCCCTAGGGCCCCATATAGTAGGTACCTGGGCGGTTAGGGATTGCTAGCAAGGCTTGCTCTCTCAAGGGTAGGCAGCTCCTCTTGCAATCCTTCACACCCAAGACCCTAAACCCTAAACCCTAAACCCTAAACCCTAAACCCAAGACCCACAAGTTCCCGTTCCAAAATCCCAAACAGCCTGAATCCCAAGACCATACATCCCCAAGCCCTGAAACCCACCAACTTAACCCTAAACCCTAAACCCTAAACCCTAAAACCCTAAACCCTAAATCCTAAACCCTAAACCCTAAAACCCTAAAACCCAAAAACCCAAAAAACGCGAGTCCTCCCGACGTTTCTGCTCTTCCTCGGCTTCTGCTCGTCTTCTGACCTCCTTCCCCAGAGGCTCCACATATAGTACCATTATGGAATTAAGTCCCAAAAGGCCATCCTTATTAAGGTCTCAGGGACCTAATTCCATAATGGTACTATCTATGGAGCCTCCTTCCACAAAATGGGTGAAGATCCGGATCTACGGCTTTAGAGTCGATGTTTATAAGGGCTACTGTCATGTGTTCAAGGCCTTGGAGTTTATGTTTCGAAGTGTTGACGTTTGGGGTTTGGGGTTCCAGAGTTTATGTTCTGGATTTAGGGTTTAGTTAGGTCTATGATTAGGGTTCAAGGCTTGAGCATCGAAGCAGTCGATATACTACAGCATATTTCCGTCTGGCTTCCGTCTGATATCTGCGCTTGGCCCACAAGCTAAAGCAACTTGTCTGGGCGACCAGAACTGGAACATAATGCATGCAAACAGCTAGCTTACCATGGTAGCGCGTGGTGGTCTTACTATGGCTCTGCCATGCATTCCTGGACCAGAGCCGGCTCTCTAGGCTAGCAACAACATACATACTATAGGAATGTAACCCTACAACCCCCCAAGTACCTACTATATAGGGCCGCAGGGTCTCTAGTACCCTATATAGCAGGTACCTGGGGGGTTAGGGTAATGTCAGGTAATTTATGTACAGGTTGGCAATGTTTTTGCCCGGTTGCAGTGGGTGTAAGACCATGCTATATGGCTTCACGCGGCTTGACTTTACATGATGTCCGTTGATGGGAGTGCTACCGGAGTCTCTAGGATGTCGCATGTCGAGGCTCTTGTATCGCATGTAGGGTAAATTGGTCATGTCGAGACGATCACGGTACTACGATGTAGTGCTCACATAAGATCTTGGCTCAAAACACTTAACCCTAGACAAAACGAGACCTAGACCTTGACGCCGGGAAGAACACAACACAACACAAAAGCCACCCAGAACTGAACTTTCAAACATTGATCATTAACTCCCGTGAAAGCTTGGCTTGATGGCGAACTAAACGTCTCCTCCTCCTTACGCTTGAATTCTGCCTCGGCTTCAGCAAGACGTCGTGCCTCCTGCACACGTTTCGGCATGTGTCGGGTTTGTCTGTAGCATGCCGAAGGAATTGGAGATGGACCGCTACGTATAGGGAGGCGGGTAGGTCGGTCGGTGGGTAGGTAGGTAGGTCGGTAGGTGGGTAGGTAGGAAGGTCGTTATAAGGAAGGAAGGAAGGTAGGTAGTTAGGTAGTTGGGCAGGCAGGCAGGTAGGCAGGGAGGTAAGTAAGTGGGTACGCAGGAAGGTAGGTACTGCGCGCAAACATGTCCGGGACGTCGTGAAGGACAAAAAGCCCTTAAAGCATTGGCTGTGGTCTCAACCACTGCTTCAGTCGGAGTGTGTCGTGCAGCAGTCGGGCATTAGCTGTCATGAGCCGCAAGCGGGAATCAGCCAGCCTCGACCAAAGTTGGATTGGATAGCACAAAGGGCGAATCTTTCAAAGCCGGCCAGGGCATTGATCAAACACTCGGAAACTTCCGCAACCGTCCGTCAACTCCTGCAACTGGGCATTCTCTGGGCCGGACCACTCCTTCAACGTTCCCTCGCAGGAATGTATCAGCAGCTTCCTGTTCCCGGGAATCCTGGCGTACAAAAGAGCTCGCGTCTCCGCAACGCCATCGGCAGGCATGAAATAGTGCGAGCACGCAACCCCTGAAACTTAAACTTAAAGGCTTAAAGTTAATCCCTTTTCTCCCTATTACTATCTACTATTACAGGACGGGCGGAACCCCCCCTCCCCATTAAACAAAACACAAATATGGAGGTGCCTTGAGTATATTGGGATGTGTGTTTATCGCTACTGTCATGTTGGGCCAAGGCCTAAGCAGCTACATCCATCTCTGCTTGAGGGTCGTATTGAGCCCTGACTAGGCATGAACCCTAAACCCTAAACTCTAAACATTAAGCCCTAAACCCTGAACATTATATAAACCCCCAAAACCCCAGAACCCGGAACCCTAAACCCTACCTAAACTCTAAACCCTCAACTCTAAACCCGAAAACCCTAAATCCTAAACTCTAAACATGAACCCCCATTCCCCACACCCTAAACCCCACAACCTGGAACCCTAAAGCCCGATCAAGTTTTCGGTTCGGAACCGAAGTAACGCAGAAGCCTGGAGATATATTTAGGGTTTCGGGTTTAGGAGTTTAGGGTTTAGGAGTTTAGGGTTTAGGGTTTGGGGTTTAGGGTTTGCGGTTTAGGGTTTGGGGTTTAGGGTTATATATATATATATATATATGTTTGTCTGTCGGTTGCGCTCCGAAGCCCGTATTGGGCAGGCTTCCGAACTACCTTACGTAGTCTCAGGTGTCCCCCTTCAGCACCAAGTCTGCCCCGTTCTGTTTGTGTATCGGATTTGAGTTTAAGACGGTTTTCAGGTATATCATATGCCAATTAGATTAAGGAACCCTGAGCAAGGGTTTGGCAGGGTTTGGTGATCATTCCGATTCTCAAATGATATGAGATGTATCATATGCGATTTTGTTGTATGATACTATCTTATGTTATGTTATACGCGATTATATATTACACATTATTATTGCATATATCTTACTTACATTGCGTTATGCTATATACTGTCCCTGTTGTGTCCAGGGCTTTCAGCCGAAACCCCTGAAACCCAAACCCAATGCGTCAGGCCACCGGCGCCGCAACGGACGATGACTTTTCAGGTCACAGCCCAACGGGTCGGTTTAGGGTTTATAGGGTTTAGGGTTTAGGGTTTATAGGGTTTAGGGTTTAGGGCTTATAGATTACAGGGTTTAGGGTTTAGGGTTTATAGGGTTTAGGGTTTAGGTTTTAGGGTTTTTGGTAGTCTTATTGCGGATACTTCCCTGAACCATAATAGCGATTCCTAATGTAGAAACCCTACGTTCTACTATATAGGTACATAGGAGCCTTTCAAAGGGGCCAGCTCTTGCGATGAACCCCGCAACTCCTGTGTTGTTCCCTGTTGTCCCCTGAAGGAAAGGAAGGGCTTGCCAACAAAGCGCTACCAGGGTTTAGGGCTACCATGAATGAACTGCACGACTTCTCCTTTTGGTTCTGTGCCGGAGGGCAAAGGGCGAAAAGCCCTCAACCCATGTCCTAAGCTGGCGCCCATAAATCCTGAACATTGAACGCTTCACCCAACAGGGTCCGAACCCTAAACTCCAGCCCCCCATTACCTTAACGTAGAGATTGGGAGTTCACCGTCCTCCTTCCGCTTGCGTTCGGCTTCGGCTTCGGCACGCTGGCGTGCCTCCTTTTCCGCTCTTCGGCTTGAGGGATTTACTGCTAGGGGCCGAACTCTCAGGGCCCATGTACCTACATAATATAGACTTTGACCCCAAGGTATCTCTGTAGGAACAAAATTAGGTAGATGTACTGTATAGCCGTGATATATAGCCCTATAACAGCCCATAACACCCAAAGTAACCCTGCAGTGCATTTTACACAAGCCTACAGAAAAACTGTATGAAACGCTGATTGGAACCTTTACAGGTGCATGAGACACTCCATAGGCTTTAGGGGTTTCGGGTTTCGGGTTTAGGGAACTAGGGGTTTAGGGTTTAGGATTTAGGGTTTTGGGGTTTTGGGGTTTTGGGGTTTCGGCTTTAGGGTTTAGGCCGAAGTCGTCTGCACGAGAGCTTACTCTTTCAGGTCCTGTCAGACCAAGCATTTCAAAAAGGCTGTCACGTCGCACTCACGCTTCGTAGGGCTCAGGCTAAACCCCGAACCCTACACCAAACGTTTTAGGGTTTGCCTTTTAAGGTTTCGCTTTCTACTTCTACAGCCATAGCTCGAAAATCAAGCACATTCATTCTGCATTAGGGCTATAGCAGCACAGTGCCTTATGGTAGTCTATGCTGTAATGCAGGGACTCGAACCATGGGAACAGTATGCGGGGTTCTGTTATGTATGACACCCCAAACCCTAAACCCTAAATGAGGCCTATGGGGGAGTAATGATATCATTTGCACCCCTGCATTCAGAGCCTCAGTCAATAATGCGTGATTCCTTGTAGGGCTCTTAACAACCCAAAGGGTCCTCGGTACTGTTATCGGGGATACTGTCTATGTATTCCTAATATAGAAACCCTACATTCGACTATATAGGTAGCTAGGAACCTTTGGGCAATGGAATATGGATTTTACCACCCCTCTTCTCAGTAGTGTAAGACTTCGTCCTCCTCGCGTTGGCGCTCTGCTTCAGCTGCTGCACGCTGCCGAGCCTCCTGGGATTGTTTCATAATGGGGCCTTGATTAAGCATAACTAGAATATTGGGCTTGATAGGACCGTGATACAGTTCCTGAAGGGATCTGCATACAAAGGTTCTACAAGGGTTCTGCAGGGTTTTGATCCAGGATTTGGTGTTATAGGGTCGTGTAGGCTTTACAGGGTGTTACAAGGGTCTTATGAGGCAAACGGGCCTCAATGATTAGACTCGGGTTAGGGGAGGGCGGGGGCACTCTATTGCCTGCAGTCTAGCGAAACGGCACTAGAGCTAAGGGTATACTATGAGCTCCTACCAATTCAGAGTTTTCACTATTTGCCGATGAGGTTTAGGAGTTTAGTGGGCTCAAGTTTTAGAAGTTTTTGGGTCGTAGGGTCTCGGATGTTTCTGAAGGCTCGAGGGTTTAATGCTCAGGCTCAAGGGGGCCAGAACAATTAGAACAAGGTGTTGGGGTATGTCATACATTTACGAATATACCGGAATGCTGCTGGAACAGACTATCCCTAGACTAGACCTTACACCCTAAACCCCTAAAGCTCTAAACCCTAAACCCCCTAAAGCTCTAAAACTCTAAACCCTACACCCTAAACCCTAAACCCTAAAACCCTAAAACCCTAAAAACTAAAACTCTAGACCCTGAAGCCCTTCAACACCCCAAAGCCCTTCCTTTCTACTCCCTCCCTGGGAGCCTCCTCTCGCTTTCGCTCGACTTCGGCTTCGGCACGCCGCCGGGCCTCCTTTGCTTCGGAGAGTCTGGGGCTTGGGGGTCTCAGGTTGAGGGTTTCATGGGTTTAGGGTTTCATGGTTTCATGGGTTCATGGGTTCATTGTTTCCCAGTGTTCAGGGTTTAGGGTTTAGGGTTTAGGGGTTTAGGGTTTAGGGGTTTAGGGGTTTAGGGTTTACGGTTTCATGGCTTTTCGGGCTCAGGGCTTAAGATTGGATGAAGGATTTAGGCTTTAAGACTCATAGCTTCTGGGGCCCCAGGGTTCAGAGGTCACGGCTTGGGGTTTAGGCTTAGTGTTTCGGGTTTAGGGTCAGCTTAGGGCTTACGGTTTGGGGTGTAAAGTTCTGTAAGTTTAAGGCAGAGAGGGTTGAAGATAGTCTTTCTAGAGGCTCTATCAGAACTCTGCAGTTGCATGGGGATCGTGTTTAGAGCTCTATCGAGGATCCATAAGAGTTTTCTTTTTTATGAAGTTTTGGACAAGCTTTGCTAACCGCCTTTCTCGTCTCTGGGTTCAGAGTTCAATAGTTTAGAACTTTGGTGCTGCTTAGGGCTATGGGGTTCGATGGATTCGGGGCTTGTGGGGTGAGGTGCTGGTTTGGGTAACGACCCGGCTGTAAGCTGTAAGGTCTTGGGACGAGGGTTTCTAGGGTCTTGAGAGTCTTGGGGCTACGAGATTAGAGGTATCAAGATCGAGATTTAATGCCAGCAGATCTTTGCTGCAGGGTGCGGAAGAAGCTTGGCAATGAGGAGATGCCCTGTTGCTGCGGACTGCCTCCACCGGCGCAGCCGTAGCCGTAGCCGCCACGATCCCCTTTATCGCTGCTCTCTTTGATTCCACATAGACGCGTCACCACCAACTACGAGCGTGCGAACATGCGTAGTTGTGCGGAACCGTATGAGTATGAGGATAGGGACAGGGCAAGAAATACTTCCTGACTGTCCGAACGCTGAACGGTGGATGGATGGATGGATGGAGGGATGGATGGATGTTTGGATGGAGACCGGAGTGTGCAACCATGGGTCAGGCGTCATCCCTCCCGCCGTCGTAGCCCCCCGAAGTCGTCATCGGGCTCCAGTTGGAGTTCAGGCTCCCAGCGCCCCAGAGTAAGGCATCCAGCAAAACCGTTCCAGCACACCCATCCTCACCGTGACCCGAGTCCCCTCTCCGAAGAGATCAGGCTGAACGGTGCTTGTCCTTAGCGCAGCTGCTAGCAAGCTGTTTGGCTCGGCCTCCAATGGATGACATCTACATCTGACTAGCGTCGCAGACGCGAAGGCCCTAACCGAAAAGAGCTATCCCTACCAGCAGCGAGCTCCTGTAGCAGGGAGGCGATTAGAGTTTGAGCGAGCGGGCGAGTGAGCGAAGCGTTCCCGAATAGCCCTAAAGCCCCAAGAGCCCTAAACAACTAGCACCCTTGACCGCGCGGTGAAAGAGATCCCCAAAACCCTAAAAATCCTTGACACCAGGCCGCCGGCCCCACCACAAAAAATGCAAAACACATCAAAATACCTAAATACCGTCAAATCGCAAATGCCGGAAACACCCAAAAGACCCCAGACCCTAAACCCGAAGGGACCCCAAACCCGACAGCCGACCTCCTCACTCTTGCGCTCCGCTTCCACCTCGGCTTCGGCCAGCTGGCGAGCCTCCTTCCGATCGTCGGACAGCTGGTTGAGGGGTTTAAAGAACTTGCATTTGGTTTTTCGTGCTTTGTTTTGCCAGGTTTGGGGGGGTTTTGCCTTTTGCTTTTGCGTGTGGGCGGGGCAAGGCTGGGCTCTGAGCTGGGCTACGCTGGGCTTGGGCTGTTGGCGCGGCTTGGAATTTGTTTCTTCGCACATGTGTAAGGAAAATTCGAAACTAATGAAGATGCAGCTCGAAGCGAAATTCACACAATTTCTATTTTTCCTGTTCTTGAAGGTTTAGGGTTGAGGGTTTAGGGGTTGAGGAGGGTGTAGGGCGCAAGGTTTTTGAGTTTAGATGGATTTAGGAGCTTTATGGTCGGGTCTTGGTGCCTTCCTTGTGTTTTTTTTTGGCGGTGGGGGGGCTCAAGGCTCGATGCTTGTAGCATGTTTTTGTTTGTGCTGGTGGCGCTCGCGTTCGTGCATTTGCCAACTCCCCGCATCCCATTATTTACAGCCCATTGTGCAAATGGTTTCTGCGTATGGTGTATAGAATATATGGTATGTAGCATATATAGTATATAGTATATTGCAGTACGTCTCTCTTCTTCAACAACCAGGCCTAAAGAAGTTCAAACCTTTTCGGATAGACCCAATAGAAAAGGCCCAAAAGCTTACAGTTCTCCTACTGGCTATCTAAGATGTAGCTACGGTGCACTTTGTTCAGCCTTGTCGGTCGGTTTGTTCCGCTCAACTCAATTTCAGCGGCAAGTCCAGAGGCCTTTTCCTGGCTGGTGTCTAGTGCTTCTGGATTTGTTAGAACTCCTTTTGTCGGATCGCTTGGCTACTAAATATCCATAGCACTGTAGGCAAGCGATCTGTTTTGTGGGTCATCAACGCGAAGATCCCTTCAAGCAAACCTGCCATCATGCCTGTCCCGAGAGGAACACGGAAATCCCTAAATCCCAACCCCACACCCTAGACTCTAGACCCTATAAACCCAGCAGCCTAAATCCTAGCAACTGCAGCCTGCAGCAAGTGCCGTCGCTTTCAATCGACGGGCGCTGCATCGGTCTAGGCACCTCTACAATGCTCTCATAGCCGTTCCCAATGGCAGCCGTCCTGCTCCCGTCTGTGTTCAGCTTCAGCTGCACGTTGTTGGGCTTCCTCCTTCGGCCGGCGTCCAGTATCACTCAATCCCGGCCCTATGCTCTATCCATAAATGCATGTGCAAGTATATACATATAGTATATATAATATTATATGCACATATACATGCGTCATGTCTACAGAAGCCGCTTTACATCTGGCAACCTATAATGCCGATATGCTCGCTGATGTTACTCCAATGGGTGCGCTGTGAGCTGCGTTGCAAGCCTGGCCGTGCATCAAGTATCAGTCGCTCGTCAATGTGCGATGTGCTAGCGCTTTCGAAGGACTTACACTGAATTGCAAAATCTGCTATACTTCAGCTGCATGACATTGTTTCTGAAGTCGTGTAAAAAACCATGGGATTCAACATTGTGCATACACAAGGAAAGATAAATAGGTAGATACGAAGACTGGCAGGCAAGGAGGCATGCCGTTGGGCGGCTGCAATAGAGAGGTATACACATGTCGCGCCCGCCGTGCGCATGAGTATTCAGTTAATGTGTGTGTGTATGTATATATATATATATATATTTGTCTATATAAATATACACAGACACAGCATCACAGCATATATACATACATGCATATGCATATATGTCGAACACATGCATAAAGCCACGCGCACGCACACACACACACACATATATATATATATAGACACACACACATCTGTTTGTGTATGTTGCGTGCATACATACATACATGCATACATACATGCATACATACATACATACATACATACATACATACATGCATGCATACATACATACATACATACATACATACATACATACATACATACATATATACATAGTTGTGCAACGTCCTCGCACACCGTGGCTGACAGCAATTACCATAGGAGAAAGATCGATACCGGGAGCATAGCATCGTCTTATACCTGTCGGGCGGAATGCTGCCATATCTCCTGTGCTACACTGAATCATACAGCGAGGTTTCCTATGGTGCAGCTTGATGTACTGCAAGCCCGTGGAACCGAAACTAATCATATCTAAAGGACATCGCTTCGGGCAGGAAGCACTAGCAGCGAGGCAGCAGCAGGAGGGCTCAACCCACACCTCACACGTACCCAAACTGTTTTGGACCAAGCTAAACATTTGCTCTAACCCAGTACTCTAGAACACAAGAGCCTTTGAAAAACTCTGTAAGGAAGCTTATACAAACCTTTCAAAGAATCCCATAACAGACCCTTTAAAGAACTCTTTCAGTGCTAGGCTGCTTTGAATCTAAGGGCTCCAAGGGTGAGATGAAGGTAGGTGGAGTAATCCCAAAAAAGGGATCCTTCATCCTACATACCTTCGTCCCACCTTTTGAGGCCTCCAAAGAGAACCCCCCAAAGACAAGGTATCCTCCAAGCGCTGCGTGTGAGCCTCAGCTTCGGCTAGTCGCCGAGCCTCTTTCAAAAAAAAGTAAAGGACTCTAGGGTTTAGGGTGTTGGGCTTGGGGTTTGGGGTTTGGCAATTAGCGTGTGAGGTGTAGGGTTTGGGATTTCGGAGTTCGGGTTTAGGGTTCAGGCTTCGGTTTTTTTTTTTAAGTCGGGTTTAGCGTTTAGGGCTTGGGGCCTAGGATGTCGAGTTTACGATGGAGTTTGTAGAGTGTAGGACTGGGGCTTGTCGGGTCTCCGGCTGTTGGATATAGGGGACTTGAGTTTCTAGGGTTCTCGTATTTCTAGGGGTTTAGGTGTGCAGATGTTTGAATCAAGACAAGAATGCATCGGTCCTTGCGAGCATGCTTTGTTGCTTGCTCGTGGGGAGATCAGCTGGTCTTTCTTGCCCGCTATTCACATTTGCTTATTACGGCTGCTACTGTAAGACCGGCAGGAGATTATCGGACATGTGTAGCGTCAATGTCAGTGCTTATTTCTTATCATCGCTACCATCGCTCATGTCACTACGGACAGCAATAGTCAATCCTCTAGTTTACATTGTGCTTTCAGTTTTGGTATTTGTGCTACGTGCAAGTCCTTACTATGGTTCCACAGCCACCAGGCGAAGAGTCTTGTTGGCAATTGTCGTTCCAACATTGGATGTGGGAGGGTTGAGAGGACATTGGACGGATGAAAGGATACGGAACATGCCAAACAAGCATAACAGTCTTTGGACAGATGACAGGACACAGAAGAGTCGTAGAGTACACGCGGTGCCAAGTACAGCCCATGGCTGGGCGGTTCTGAATTTACTGTCATAATACTGTGAAAGTACGTTCCGCACTTGGCAAGAAGGCCTTCAACAAAAACTCGCCATGGTCACATCAATGGTATATAGCATACGGACCCTGCGACGAAAATTCGAGCAGAATTCCGAGCCCTATACCTATACCAACCCCATATGGTAACCTGGTAACCCTTCGAGTGGACCTTGTGATTTCATAAAAATGCCTGCCTCCGCTTCCTCCTCTTTCTTCCGTCGCTCGGCTTCTGCTTTGGCTTGTTGGCGAGCCTCTTGGATTGGAGGGTTTGAGCGGCAGGAGTTTAGCCCTAAACCCCAAACCCTAAACCCTGAACCCTGAACCCCGAACCTTAAACCCTGAACCCTAAACCCTAAATCCTAAACCCTAAACCCTTACACCCAAAACCCTGGGTAGGGTTGAGGGCTTCCCGCCCAGAGTCGAGAGTCTGGGGGTTGGTTTCCGCTGCATTAAGGTCTCCCGAGCTATGCTCCTGAGCTAACCTTTATCCGAAAGGGTCCAAGTATTAAAATGGTAGCTACTTTGTAGGTATTGCGGCCCCAAAGTTACTGGACTATAACTTGGACCCTTTGGGTATGGTGGGGGTGCAAATGGCAGGCAGACATCCAGTAACACTTGCCCCTAAACTATAAACCCTAAACCCTGAACCCTAAACCCGAAACCTTAAACCCTAACAGGAAAGTCTACACTAATTTCTAAGTACCGCCCCACTACCCGAGTTGCCTCGATTGTGCCGATCGACCCCATGACATGCCAAACTCCCTACCCCCCGCTCTGAAGCTTGGGTGCAGAGGTTAGAGTATGACCTCAAGTACTTGGAGGTTCATGGGTAGTTACAAGTGGGGTTATAAGTAGGGTAACTATACTTATAACCCGTATTATGGGACTTATAACCCTACTTATAACTACGCATGAACCTCCAAGTACCAGTAAAGTACACAAGTTGGTCCTACAAGTGCATAGCATAGCCTGGGACTTGGGCCCTTTGAGGCTCCATCTGGACGAGCTGGGGTTTAGGGTTTAGGGTTTAGGGTTTAGGGTTTAGGGTTTAGGGTTTATGGGCTACCTGAATTCAGCGCCTACGACGATGATGATGACGATGATGACGACACGATTATGATGGTGATGATGGTGATCGGTTGCTTCCAAGGGCTTCCCACAGAGGCGATACATCGCCTGTACCAGCATTTGAGCCCTCAGGATGCGGGAGCATCGTGCGTTTGTGGCTCAAGGAAATATCGCGGCTTAGGCATTTAGGATTTAGGGTGTGGCGTTGAGCGTTTTAGGGTCGTGGCATAGCTTATTTCAGGCAGCCGAAGAACGCCATAGACACAGTTTCAAACCTGTTATATTGCCCACGCCCTAAATTTTCCAAGCCCTGAACTGTTGCTGAGGTGTCTTACCGTTTGTTTTCGTGCGTACATACATGCATATATATATATATATACATATATATATATATATATATATTTATTTATGACTGCAAAAACGCAGGCCCCCCCATACAATTAGACCACAGACATGCGCCCACACACACACACACACACGC